ATACAATAAGAGACCCCAGAGGGCCTGTGCGTCGGCAAGAAGACAATAACGAGACAAAAAAGTTACCGCCAGTCTTCTCCGGGCCGGTCACGTGCGCACACAGCCTCTGGGTCGGGTCGGTCGGGTCGGGTCAGGCCCGACCCGACGGCCCCATGGCATCGACTTTCTTCAACGGAAGGCAAAATCTACAGCGCCGTGCGTGATCTGGCATTCCATATTAGGAAACTGACCTTCAAGATGGTTCGGGCATCGTACAAACCCATCCTGAAACCTCTGGCATGGTTCAAATGGTGTTTTGAGGGTTTCCAACATCTTCTAACAAAAGTATCACAAAGTTTTTTTCAGCCTCCCCCGGGACCCCCCCTCCCCCCTCCCCATGTACGAAATTTTAATCCCAAGTTCCCCTTGGCTGAAGCAATTCCAGAGGGGGAGAACAAGCGCAAGCGCCACCCCAACACGAGATATGCTGATTTTTGGCGGCACGCGAGTGACATGGATAAGGATCTTATTTTACCCAGGATTTAGTACTAGTGTACCGTACTTACAGTCTTGAATGAATCTAATCTCAGCGACGAATCTTCCGGGTGAGCCATTCAGTAGTGCCAGCATTGAGTGAGAGAGAGCGGGATTTACTCACGATCCCGATCATGTCAAAGAACGACATGGCAGTTTGATGTCAGTTGTGTGAGCCCCACAGCAATAAACACTTCGAGGCACCCTGGAAAAGAAAAAAATGCGTTTTTTGCCTCATTTTGCGCGTTTTTGTGACTTTTTTTGCAAGTTCGTGGTCGGCCTTGGTGACCTGTGACATCCACGAAAATATTCGTGGATTTGGGGGCCTGTGACCCAGACTTATCCGATTGGCTTGGCCAAATGGCTTGCGCCGCTTAGCGGAGTTTGAAATTGGCTTGGCGGGCGTGGGCGGGCGTGGCTTGTGCTCGCTTAGCACTAAACCATTCCACTGTAATTGATTCGATAATTTCTCCTCCCCGAGTCCTCTTCTGCATTTCCCATCATCACCAGCATTCCCTAAGGCTCCAACCGTTTTCACTTTCAAACATTTAAAAACGTTTGTAAACTGATTAATAATCCTTTTAGTTTGCGGACCCTGGTAAACAGTAAAAAAATGGTAAAAAAACGGTTCAAACGGTAATTTTTTCGAGGTTTTGGTCTCATTGAACTTCTGTAACATTGTTCCGTTTGCGCGCATCTTATTTGAATTTGTCTTCGACACTTACAAAAGGACTGCGGATGCGAAGGTTCGAAGTTCACCTCCAGCTACTCAGCCAAGCAAAACCACACAACCAGCGAGATCTTTTCTCCACACTGTGTGCATGGTGGATGTTGCCCTCCCGGTCAACAAGGTGCTCCCGCTGGAACCTGAATTCAAGCGATTCTATGATGTAGCAGTTACTCACGGGTCCGGCGAGCTTGACGCACCTTTGGCGTGGTGGAAAGTATGGCACTGCTGATCCCCCCTGTCATCACTGACGATCTGGTTTTCCAGATACACGAGCGTGACTTTCTCGTCATTGCCGCGATGGCTCGTGACTTCTTCGCCATTCCAGGTACCAGTGTATCTGTTGAGTGCCTTTTCTCAAAATCACGACATCTCTGCCGCGAAACCTGCTCCTCCATGCACGCTGACACTATCATGAAAGCCATGCTCACGAAGATGTGGATTAAGGCTGCGTTATTCAAGTCGAAACAGTCGTAACTTCGTTGTATATCTAAAATTTCATATAATTTACTGCCCGCAAATCTATCGTTTTAAAATGTTTTGCAAACGGAAGTAAATGTTTGTGGTTTTTTTACCGTTTAGTTTACGGGCCGTTGTAAACGAAAACTAAACGGTTGGAGCCTTAGCATTCCCCTATCACCCTCTCGTCCCTGTTTGTCAACTTTGCTGAGATAGAAAGACACTTCTTCCGGGGCACGGCATATATCGTACTCCTTCCGTTTCTGACAACTGTTGGAATTAAATTGGCTTAGAATGTGACTATATACACATTAGCTGTAACTGTCTGACGGAAGTAAATTCAAATTGTTCAAGTTCAACAAGTGATCGTGGGCGCAACTCCGCAAACTCCAAACAAGACCAGGACAAAGAAATTCATCGATCCCCTCTATATCTTTACCTTAATTATTGATCTTCGAGCCAGTTGCAAAATCTCCCAATACCGCCGCCACGCCCGGCTGCCGCAAAGGGATCTACAACAAGCCATTTGGTTCATGCCCAAACAGTTGCACTAAAAAGTCTAGTGCAAGACAAGATGCGGTACAGAGCCAACATGACCGCCGAACTACTATTGTGCAGCCGGTCAAAGTACAAGCGATTTCGAATTCGCAGGACCGAGATAGGTTTCTGCTTCATTTTGTGTAGGTATCCCAGATGTGTCTACTAAGACTCTACTTGTTAAACTTTGTCAGGGTGCCGGTTCTAGGTCAATTATTGGCTGCCGGGGTTGCGAAATAATTCGATCTCTGTGCCGAAATGGAGAAGTTGGCCAGGTTTGCGGGGGCGGTGAAGGCGAGTCAAAAAATCGATGGGCAAAATTATCACCAACATCGGAGGATCATGAAATAAATACTTATTAAATACCTTGGGACAGCTCAGATGAGGCACAGAGAGGGCTTGACGGCGGTGATGGGTGCAAGCCACTTTTGTTTTATTCCGCCCGCCCATTTGATGGCATCAGGCGGAATGGCTTGTGATGCCAGCCAACATGTTGAACTTCACTCAACCCGGTGTCAATTCACCACGGTATCGCTGTAACCTGGTAGGATCAAGTAATTTACATATTCCTGCAATGAAATTGACCTGATTATACCATGAATTCCTGGACTTTTCGTCGCAAGCTGCGCCCACGCCTGTTTTGATGGCATCAGGCAGAATGGCGTGCGCCTGCCACTTTGTTCCCTAAGCAAAATCAGGATTCCTTGGCCTATCCCAGGCCTAAGAAGGCTCCATATTATTCAGATATGTTCTTTGTGGTGGTTTACAGCAAATAATTGAGTAATTATGCAGATTCATTTGGTTGCGGTGAAGACTACAGTTCAACCAGTCAAATAATGATCACTGTAACCAAGAATAGCTATCCAGACGGTTGATTCACCTGTTCGAGAGTATTTTGAAGTTAGTTGTTGAGGAATCCATTAAAATTTCCGCTTGAGATATTGAAACACTTGTGTGGTTCAAAAGTTTAGTGAGTTGAACTTTGTTTTTCAGAATACCTTTACGTGGTGGACACTTCTCCTGAAACTTTTATTACGGCTGGGTAATCCGATGCATGCTCTATTAGTTAAAAACTGCAAGCTGGCTGGCTTGCATCTGGGGTATAAGCTGTAAGTCAGCTGGTATGAACAGCGATGGGGAATCATGTCATTAGTGAGCAAAAACATCGGAAAAAATGCAAACCAATGAAGGGAATACTTACCAAATACATTGGGCTACCTCAGAGAGAGCAAAAAATGTGTTTAACACGTACTTCATTTTGGTTGACCACGCCTCCGCCTGTTCGATGGCATCAGACAAAATGGCTTGTGATGCCAATTAGCGTGTTCAACTTCGCTCAACCCGGTGTCAATTCATTAATATATCGCTGCAAAATGCTAGGATAAAGTAAATTACATATGCCTACAATGGTATTGACGTCATTCTCATATGAACTACTCGACTTTTCGTCGCAAGCCGTGCTCACGCCCGTTTTGATGGCATCAGGCAAAATGACTTGCGCAAGCCACTTTATTGCTGATGAAGAATAACACTGTCCTGGCACATAATGGGCATGAGAATCCTCCAGAACATTCAAATATCTTCATTCTAGCACTTTAAATCAAATTTCTTAATCATTATGCTCATTCAGTTTGTTGCAGTCAAGACCCTGGTACCACCAACTTGAACCAAGGTCAAATACCGAAGGCCAGAAGCTGGAATTGCTGTCCAGAGAGCTTGGTCCAGCTCCATTAGAGTTTCCAACCCCTTTTGTGAAGATAAGGCACCTGTGGTTTGGCATATCAAGTGGGTATCCCACCCATCAATGACTAGAGTGCTTACAGCTCTGAAGATATGTCGATCCAGGACGTTTCCCTTCGTTCGAGACTCGAGTGCCATGAATAGTAAGAGATGAGCTGCGCAAGTTAGCACATTTATAGGCAAATGAGGCTATTGTCTCGGGTAATGACCGATTGACTCAGTGATGTTGCATTAAAATGGACAACTGTGGAGCAAAAACACACGCCAGGCAAGCGGGATGTCAGAGGATGCATCTTGGCAACATAGATTGAAACCAGAGGAAGTAAGACGCTCGGAATCGGCGCAAGCCACTTTCAGCGGAATGGCTTGCCAAGCCAACAAAATGGCTTGCAAGCCGAAAAGCCGGGCGTGGGCGGGTGATGGCACTAAAATCCACGCCCACGCCCGAAACAAACCATTCCGCGCGGGTGCAAGCCGTTTTTGCAAGCCAAAAATGTCACTCTCCCTGTGACCCGTGACCACCGAACTGAATAAAATACTACAGTATGAGGAATCGTGGATTCTGAAATCTGAGGTGTGGCTGACAAAGCCACCATACCGCCTGTCAGGTGATGTGTTATCTCCGCTGGCTCTTGCGCTCACCTACCACCTACCCCTGCGCAATTACGCTCAACACATTTTTAACTTGACCTATCTGCCTCATTCTGGGTTGGTTCTGGCGATCGTTGGTGCTGTATCGATCGGCTATCCTTCATTTCGGACTGTTTTAATGTGCGGCGGCTCGGCCCGACAGGGAAGAAGAACATGAAGAGGCGCTTCGATTCTGGCTGGGTCTAGGCCTTGTCCTTGTTCTCGCTCTGGGCCTCATCAAACTGCAAGCTTAATCGACTGGGCTTCCGTGCTCCATGCTACGGTGTCTTGAGAGTAACCTTGTGCCAGTTAAAGGACGGGCCCGCCAGACTAAGGAAGAGAGGAAAAAAACTTTGAAAAACAAAGGAAGAAAAACGGCAAGTATCCCGACCAACGGCCCGACCCCGAATCGAACGGGGAACCTCTGCTTGAACTTTGGAAATGCCAGGACTATTAAGAATCGCAGACGCGCTCCAAGCGCTACCGGGCCATTCCTCGCTCAGCGGTTTAACCACATTTTCTGGCGCGTGCTTGATCAACAGAGAAAAATTTACAGCGAGGACAAGTATCAACATGGCTCGTGCCTGATTCGAACAGGCGGGATCTGCTGAAAAGTTCTATAGGGCAGATAAATGATGTGCAGACGCGCTCCACGCGCAACCGGGCCGTACTGTACTGATTTCGCTCGTTCGTAAGTCAATCCAGAATGTATCATTAATTATTCCCCCTCATTCCTTATTCGAGACAAAACAGTTATGCCTCGCAGCTAGAATCAAGGCTCGGGCCTGATTCGAACAAGCGGGATCTGCTTTGAATTCATATCGATACCCAGTATGGATCGCAGACGCGCTCCGCGCAACAAAGCCCCTTGCTCTGCATGTTGGTACGTTAATCAAACTCCTAATTTTTGTGCGTGCTGAGAATTCGTCCGCTGGTTCTTTCTTCCTAGAATGAGGTGCATCAAGCAAGCCTCTCTCTGTCCATCCCATCCTACGAGCCGTAACCCTAAACTTTAGAATGTGTCACACGGATGTAGCCAGGTAAATTGGACCGTAAATCCACGACACTAGCCATATGCTGACTAGGACAACTCCACGGCGCCTGGCACTTTTGATGGCTTTTGATGTTGATGATAGCAAATACAGTGATTTCGTTCTTGATGCGACCCTTTGATTATTTCAAGATTTAGTGAACACCAAGCAAATACCCGAGCCGCGGCGGGATGCCCGCCATCACCGGCGCGTTTGCCGGCTAGCCAGTTTCCCGCGCTCGACTGTTTGCGTATGTTATAGTCCCATCATCGCCGATCCGCATCCCGCCTACACCGCTCGGCTACTTGCGCCGCCCCTCATTTACACGCACTGGCTCTCCTGTGGCACCGGCGCAATGGCACAGGCTGATTCCCGTGTGCCTAACCCACGCCATCTACCTTTTCCGCTGCTCCCGGCATGTCACGGGGCGCATTTTTGCATATGCTTTGCCGTCACTCCGGTCGCGTTGCCCTTGCGTAATCACCACACCCCCCATATATTACTGTAGCTGTGCTTTGCTCTTGTGCACCCATGATTTTCCCCTTTCACCTTTGTACAAGCAAATGTACAAATGTATTTTTATTGTATTTCTTCAAATTGTTTCCTTTTGATTCATATTTTGGTCTACAGAGGCGAGATTAGGGACCAATATATTGTAGAAGAAGGTAGATACTTTGCCATTGGGTCGATTGTCGTTTTTTGGGAGTTGGCACACTTGTGAATGCTTGTCGCGAACTGACTTGTCGCGAACTGACGTTCGGACTCACGGGCCGGCCAGCGCTTCACGGGCGCTTAAAATGCAATCGAGCAATTGTGCAAGGGGTTGGGCTGGAAAGAATCCAGAAATGTTCCATAAAGCTTCCATAGGACGTATATTCCTGAATTACAAACAATTACACCAGAAATCCAAGTCATTGACAACATATAGACATCGGTCAAATTTGTGTGACATGTTAATTGCGATTTACAACTTCAACTGCTCCACTTTTCGAGCATATTTAGTAAAGTATTGTCCTAGAAGATTGAATACCCCAGCTCTTTCGATCATATAAGGCCCATATGTCCTTATTGGTACGAGACCAGAGCCTTCTATACCCCGAAAATCGTCAAAAGGGGTGTTCTTGAGTCAAAACTCAACCTTTTTTAATCGTCCAAAATTTTGGATGGATATGTAGGCATAGTTGTACTGTACATGAATCTGAATCGACAGGCTATAAATGTGTCACGTTGCAATGAAATAAACCTGGTTATCGGACTCCCAGAGAAGCCAAGATCATCGTACAGGACTTGGTTCAACCCCTAATTCATTGTTTTTAGGATTTCTATGAACAAAATACACTCTTACATGCGTAATACCCAATCGAATATGGCTATGATGGAAAGAAAATCATGATTTCTGCTGCAGGCAGCAATTGAGTGAAATCTCGACCAGAAAAAATGGTAAGGCTCCAATTTCTCTTCCTGAATATAATATTCAAATAAGAACTGCTACCTGAAGAATTTCTATAGAATTGTCCCAGCCACTCGTAGGCAATTCGCAAAATCGTCGAGGATTCAGGGGTCACTCCCAATTGGGTATGTCGATCACGTCAATCAGTGGCTGTACCGCTTGTTCTCGCCACCCGCGAGAGACCCTTTGAGCCCAGTTCTCAGGCGCGTTATGCCTCTGTTTGGCAACATTTTGCTTGTTTATCCTGTAAATTTTATCGTATATATACACTGCATATCCTACAATATTTTTGCGATTTTTAAAGCAAATTTTGGTACCATGGTTGGCATCGTCGCCAACAGCGTCGAGGACATCTGATCGTTATTGATCGCGGCGTCAAGATGCTTGGATCACTAGCCGTTACATCCATCAAATGGATCCACGGCAGCACCCAGCCGACCCATCAATCAGAGAGGGGCTCAGCATGCGCCGCCTGCTCCCCAAAAGGGGAAGAGAACAAGGCTATCAGCAACGGCACTAGCCGTGGATGGCTGTAGACGTGGATTTACGGTCCATTTTTCCTGGCTAGTGCCGTGACATGAGACAAATGGTTAGTGACACTGGTGCCATCCTACGGTACTCTCATCTTCACACCTCGTGATTTTTTGCCCCTGGTTTAGATACCCGACAGAAAAGAACAGATTTGGCGGCCGTTGTATGGTCCGAGCCCGAATTGAACGGGGAGCCCTGCTTAAACTCTTCCTCGTCATTTTAAGAATCGCAGACGCGCTTCAAGCGCAACCCGGCCATTCCTCGCTCAGTAGTACGTCTAGCTTCACCACATTTTCCGGCGTGCTTGATTCAACCGACAGAGGAAACTTTACACCGAGATATCAGCAGAGCTCGGGCCTGAGTCCAACAGTCAAAATCCGTCGATGAAGTCCTCAAGGGAGTCAATAGAGTGCAGACGCGCTCCACGCGCAACCGAGCCTTTTTTCTATGCTGTATGGTGGACACATTGTTTCCTCCTTAACTCAATCAATGGAACAAAAGGGTTCGATTTCGCTCTCCATTGGCTCGAGCCCAGTCAAACAGGCGGGATCTGCTTTGAACCCAAGTGTACGGAGCATATGGATCCCAGCGTAACCGAGCCTTTCTTTCTACTCTATGTGGCACGTTGCTACGAGAGCCTTGAGGACAAATAATGAAAGAGATTTTAAATAAATTGGCTGGTCCGTCGTATGGCTTAACCCCGAATCGAACGGGGCGCTGTGCTCAAACTTTTTCTTGCGGTTCAAGAATCGCGGACGCGCACCAGGCGCAGCCAGGCCTTGCCTTGCTCAGTGGTACGTCTATTTCTACTGGATTGTTTCCCTCTTTTTCCAGCGGGAAAAAGAGTAGAGTGCACAGGCGGGACTTGTTGAAAATTTACATCTGGCAAGGCGAATGATGTGCAGACGCGCTCCGCACAACCGAGCCTTGACTGCTCTTCTTGGTACGTTGATATATTAACCAAGCCCCCGACTTTTGTGCGTGCTGATTTCGTCCGCTGCTCGCGTACATCCTCCTTTTACAGAATGAGTCTCTCCATCCATTCCATCCTACGGTGCGCTCATGTTCACACCTCTTGATTGTTCGCACCTCGTTAGATTCCTGGCGTTGAAGGCGAAAAGGAAAAGGCATAAAAAACCACGAGGATATCACGGCCCGACCCCGAATCGAACGAGGTACGTCTGCTTTAACGTTGAATGGGTGCGGGGCCGCCTACGAGTTGCAAACGCGCTCCATGCGCAACCGAGCCTTACTCGTCGTCTTAGTGCGTCAGTCAAACCCCCAATTTTTGTGCTGTATGCTGATTTCTCCACTCGTCCCGATCTTCTGTTTTTGTTTTTGTTTTTTTGACGGAATGAAGAGCATCAAGCCTCTCCGTCCACTCCATTGTACTGCGCAGTACGTTCACGCAAGATCAAAACTCGTTTGTTACGTCGCTATACCGAACCTTGAAAACAAAAGAAAGAGCTTAAAATATTGAACCCGGCCGGCACATGGCCCAGCCCCGAATCGAACGGGAATCTCTGCTTCAATGTTGTTGCAGCTGTATCCATAAATTGCAGACGCATACCAAGCGTAACCGGGCCTTGCCTCAGTCGTACGTCCATTTCGACTCTGCCTTTTCTCTCTTGCTAGGTAAGTATTCAGTTTGAGCAACAGAAAAGTCAACACGAACTTCAAGACAAGGTTCGGGCCTGAGTCAAACAAGCGGAATCTGCGTTAAACCGATCGTGGCCGACAGCCAACAGTTTGCAAGCGCGCACCGAGCGCAACCGAGGCTCTCTACCCTGTGTGGTACGTTTACTGAGCCCTCGATTTCTTGTGCTCAGTTATTCTGCTCGTGCTCATCTTGCAATACCAAGCTTAAGATTTAATCGAGCTATGGCGTGCTAGCTCGTACGTCCATTTTAGCACCCCATTCTCTCCCGATTCAAAAAGAAAAGAAAACGGTTCCTGTCCAAAGCTATTTAACACTTGTGAGCTGGTATGACCTATGAATTAAGCATGCGTGTGGTCAATTTAAAGTTTTTGGCCTCCAGGGAATGTTTCAGTTTCCTCTGCATCCTTCGCCATCACTTCTCTTTCACTTGCCAGTCACCAAGTGTATCCATGCTTCGGTACATCGCTGCAAGGTTCCGCATGACCCATCGCGTGTGTGGGTGTTCGCCACCGAAAATTCTTCTCCAGTTTTCCAGGACTGCGCTGTAAAGACCCTCTGCACGGTCGAACTGGCCTTGGACCTGGTACATCAATGCGAGATTGCCCGTCGTATACAGGGTGTCGGGATGGTGTTCACCCATAATTTTCTTCTGCTTCTCAAGCGCCACAGCTCCAAGCTCTTCCGCGGCGTTGAGCCTGCCTAATTTCAGGTATGTCCATGCCAAACTGTCCATCGTTCGTAAAGTGTTGGGATGGTCTTCAGCAGGAATTGTTCTCTGTTTCTCTAGCCCCTGAACCTTGAGGTTCTCCGCTTTCTTC